CACACAGAATTGTTCAGAACATCAATTTAGGACTCAGCATTCATGGACTGTGATCAGTGGACCTTGTCCAACACGAGAAGCACCCCCAAACCATGATTCAACCATCTATTGGGACAACACGTTCAGATAATAAGAGTTCACCAGTAATCCTCCATACCCAAACATGTCCATCAGACTAGAAGAGCGTGTAACATGACTCATCGCTCCACAGGACTGACTTACATTGATCCACAGTCCAGGTTTGGTGTCCTTGCCCCATGCCAGTTGATGGTGTGTATATGTTTTTTGTTATCAATGGCTTGTGGGCTGCAGCTCTTCCGTGAAAATTCACTGCATGCAGCTCTCAACGTGTCGTGGAAACACTTATAGGATTGCCTGTGGCTTCTCGCATCTCCAAACACAGATTCTCTAGAGTCTGATGGTGAGATGAGGTAACCAGCCTTCTCAAGTTGTGTCGGCTCCTGTCCATCAGTATTTTATGCCTACCTGGTCGTTTCTTGGACTTATTGTCACCTGTGGACTTCCATTTCTTCAGCATGTTGCCAACTGTCAACGTGGGAATGTTTAATTGTTGCTCAATAGCACATACAGACACTTTCCACAAATGACATCCAACTGTCCTTCTTCTCTGAAACCTGTTAGCTCTTTCCGAGTACATATCCTTCAGCATACAAATTTGAAATGACTTTTGAGCAAACTGCTGATCACCCTTACAGGTCAAACTATTTGCATATTTCATAATCACATCCTTTTTTCCTGTGATTATAAATGTGTCCCATGACTTTTGGTAGGATAGTGTATGTATAAGCATTTGCTAGTAAGGGAAGAGACAGTGTTGAACTCTATAGTGTTGGGTGATTAGTGGACTTTGATAATTGTTGGGCTCATGAATTTATTACATTCAACTGATCAGTTATTTTCGTATGGGTCATGTATTTGGAATAGTCAGAAACATTAATTTCTTGTAGTCATAACCCTAATTGATTTACCATATACATACTGGTTGAAAACAATGTGCAACCCTGAAACTGTACATGCTGTTATAACCCTAATTATATTAAAGGTATCTTCACAAAATATGCTAATCTGTGTCTGTGAACTTACAAAGCCTTTACTGTTTCAGTTTGAGTGACTTTCATGCTAAGGATATGAATACTTTATCATTCAGTTTTCACATTTTATAAGATTTAAAATCTTCTGAATGAGAATAAACAGTTTTTTATTTGGTAAAACTTTACATGATATCTTAGTTTATCCACCCTAACACTGTAGCAAAATCGTAAATGTACAATGAAAAGTTGAAGGAAATAAAAATGACCTTTTTTTTCTTTTAGAATGACTGCAAATTGTAACACAGTTATTTATCATCAGCTTCTAACCTTTTCACACCTGCTTTTGTTTTCAAATCTCATTGCTTTCAAGGTAATTTAGACAGCTTAATGAAACAAATGATCAAGTTACAGTCACACCATGCTCTGTGTACATCAAGCTAGGATACTGAGTTAAGAAAATGTTTTATTTGATTATTTTCATTCAAGTACAGTTATCTAGCCTAATTTATGCATTTTAGCTAGCTTTATTAAACAATAAATGAAAAATATAAGAAAAAAAAATAGTACTTATAACTGGAGTTGGGCCTTTTGTCATTGATGCTATGGCACTATAGGCCTACTTTTTTCTCACTTTTTCTTGTGCAAACAGTAATTCATGTTCCATTCAAATGTGCTTGTAGAACACAAAAAAATATAATTTGCACTTGAATAGAATGTTTCAAACGACTCCTTATCAGGCCGTCTAACTAAGCTGTAACTAGGTTAAAAATTCCCATTGCTGCTTTGAGCAGCAACATTAGCCAATGGTCATCAAACTTTCTTTGCAAACTAATGGCTTTAACCACCAAAATCAAACAGATGATCATCAGATTTGTAATTTTAGACTTTGGACTTTTGTTGGTTGAAAACGTACATAAGGCAAGTAAAGAAGTGGCTTTAAAAGTATCAAGAGATGCGGGGGTTTCTGGTTAGTTTGTTAAATATGTTGATATTTCAGATGGAAGGCTCAAATTTTATATTCTACTTTTTAGCATGTGCAGTTTTTCTCCGATTGGTTCAGAAGTATGGAAGCTGTATTGTAGAAGTAATATTCACAGCACAGACATGTCATTTGTCAGACCAATGAATATAGAGAAATTTTTAAATATTTCCTTTTGAGTTTACGAAATTAAGACTTGTATTAAAATGTGGATTATAAGTCATGTTTTAATGTCACATTTATTGAAATACATTGACAATAAAGTTGTTTAATTGAATTTTGAATTAAAAACAAAATGTGCAATTTCACCCACCCTTATGTATAGGATTAAGCTGAACAACCTTGAATTAATTGAAAATAATGATGAATCATAATGGTGTTATTGCAATTACTTAGATAGTTGGAATATTCAGTAATAATTGGAAACAGCTATTTTGATTATTTTTGTGATATTTGATTTAATTGTAATTAATATTATTTTACATGACATTAATCATTGTAACCAGTGCTCAAACGTGATTATATTGAGTTAAATGCTCAGTGCCCAGCTCTATTAAAGTGATATATAGTAATAAGATATACAAGTAGATAAAAGTAATGCTTGAAAACACCTATTTTTGTAATATCAGTCTTATTATGGTGTTTGCTCAAACTTGCTGTTTGGAGAAGAAAACAAAAGTTGATTGTCAAATTATAGGTGAATAGCGGGTTGCACGTTACATACTGCTAAATTAACATAGTTAAATTTTCCCGATTTGGAAGGAGGAGCGAAACAGGAGTGAACATAACCTGACCAATATTGCTAAAACACATGAACGAATGCAGCATGAGCAAAAGTTATCTCCGTACTACAAGACCAAACTCAGAGGGTTGTACAACACGGCGATGCAAGATGCCGAGTGTGAAGCAGAACTCCTCAGAAAGGCTTTAGACGTCATCGCCGAGGTCAGAACTATTCGAAACGAGAGACGTCTGGCTGCAAAAAAATCAGGTACAGAAAAACAAAAAAACTTCAATCTGATTTGTAAAATGAGTTATCAGAAAATGGGATTCCACACCTCGTATGAGCATATGAACAACTATTTCTACCCTGTAATATCATACACACACACACACACGCTTGTTGAAGTTTTTTGTTGTTGTTTGAAAATACAAAGGAAGAAAAAGATATTGATTGCCTGGAATTAGTAATACAGAAATTACTACCTTTAGAATTCTGTTCTAATAAATTTTAGCTAAGAAATGACATCCAATTTTGTTTTTGTCTGAAATTAAAGATTGAAAGATGTACAAATACCATACCTGATGGGTTGTTTAGATGAAATGTTTGAACTCAGACTTTTCTTCCCATTTTTGACTCAAAAAAAAATGTATTTTAATGAGCTGGTTGGTGTTTTTTGCAAGTACGAGAAAAATACAGTGAAGAATTACAGCAGGAGGGTTGTAATACCAAGAGTTTATAAGTTTGTGGAAATTCAAAAGAACTATTTCTTCTGTGTGATATTATGAGCATTTTGTGAATGTATCATGGTACTATGACACTTTCTGAACAAGAAAAAGTATCTCGTACATGTTTGAGAGAGAAATAGGGATAATTTTTTATTCTTTGGAGAAACTGTTTCTCTATTCTTGACTTATCAGTTGTTACACCTTCTTTATCAAGGAATTTTATCTGTTTTAGTAGCTCTGATATAACTCTTAAGATGTTCCAAAATTAGCCCGAAACTTAAAGCAATGTTATAAAATTCTATACTGTGAAACTATGAGCAAGAGAAATTTACCAAGCTTATTTGTGAGAGGAAATGATTTGTTTTTATGGAGAAAAACTTTTTTACTCTGTTCATATCTTTGTACATCTTTTATATCATAGAATTTCTACACTGTGGTGATTGTTGTAGTTTTGACCAAAATTAATCTACGACTTTACAACTGTAGTAGAGATCACAGTGAATAGTTTTCATAAAAAATGTGAAACTAAGATACTGAGAAAATAAAAATGGGTTCTTACTGAGAAAAATTATCATTAATTTTTCACAAAAAGATTAATTTCAAACCCTGCAGTTAAAACTACAATTAAAGATACACGTGTATGACTAGATGAAGCAAAGAGTGGACTGCAGGGGCCATGTTTCTTGCCCTAAGTATTTCCTCCAAACTTATTTCATTGGCAGTGGATTTGCTAGGGACCATGAGAATCTTGTTAACTGTGTAGTTTACCCATATCTGGTAAGATTGTGTTAACACAACTTGTACGTGCTGCAAGCTGGTATTTCACTAATTTATTGTAAGATTGGATTAGTCTTGTTCAGGAACACTATTGTTTTACAGAGAGACCTAAAGAAACTATCAGGAGAGGTGCTCTTATGAAAATGCTACAACAGAATGCCTTAACTTTACCCCTGTGGATACCAAAAGATGATGAAAAGCCCCCACCCCTCTGTGGTGCAGTTCCTGCAGAACCTAATTATGTAGCTAAGGTAATGACTACATTTTACATATTACTAGGTTGATTTTTAGTTTTACTGTAAGTAGATATCTTAGAAGTTATTACTTTCAGTTATAGTGAATTAAACATATTTTTAAAAACTTGGAGAGTGGCTAAAATGGGATCATAGAAACAAACATTTTATCTGGAGTTCGCTCACATATCGTCATAACTGGAAATATAAAAAAAAAAAAACTGTACGGTACAATCACAAATGGTCTGTGTCTTTCATCCAACATAGTAGTTTTTTCTGTGTTTGGTCTACTCGATCATCAGTGTTCTATGGTCTTGTTTATAGTTTCTTTGCTACTTTTGCACACTTAATACATAGATTAATTTTCACCCAATTGTACAGACTAGCTCTCTGTTACCTTCTCAATTTTGAGTGTCTACCCTGAAACCAAAATACGATTATTTACTCATTATAGGTGTAGGTGGTTTTTAAAGCAAACCCAAATACATTCTCATGTTTCAAAATTGGTTAATGTGAAATTATTTTATAATATTTTTAAATTATTCCAAATACACTTATTAATTTTTCAAAACTATAAACACTTTTTGTCAAGTATTCATTTGGTCCTCAGTATTATTTTGTCTTTGATATTTCATTGAAAAGAGAATCTTAAGTAAAAACAAAGTTTTGGCATGTTAAATTCAAAACTTATAATCAACTATCCTTGTACTGATTCTGAACTGATATTACTATTTTAGTGATGTTAATATGGATGTGGTCGATCACTGCTTTTGTGACATCGGTACGGATGTGGTCGATAGTTAACAGAAAGATCTTTTGAACTTTGAAGTTGTATGCTGCTATTCCTACATTCCTTTTTTAATGGGACAGTGATCTCAAAATGATGTCTTACGTAAATATATGTTTATAGATGTTCATTAAAACATGATTTTTTATGTATGTTTATAGATGTTCGTTAAAACATGATTTTATATGTATGTTTATAAATGTTCATTAAAACATGATTTTATATGTATGTTTATAAATGTTCATTAAAACATGATATTTTATGTATGTTTATAGATGTTCGTTAAAACATGATTTTATGTATGTTTATAGATGTTCGTTAAAACATGATTTTATATGTATCTTTATAAATGTTCATTAAAACATGATTTTATATGTATCTTTATAGATGTTCGTTAAAACATGATTTTCTATGTATGTTTATAGATGTTCATTAAAACATGATTTCATACATATTTTTATAGATGTTTATTAAAACATGATTTTATACAGATGTTTATCGATGAGTGAGTTGGTTAAGTATCCTCCTGCCTCAGTACCTGAGCTGTCTTGATCCAAAGATTATTGTATCACAGAAGGAAATTTGTATATTCAATCTTAAGAGGGTATTGAAGGCTGTGTGGATTAAGGTGAAGCTTAGATAGAAGACAAAGATAATATTTTTAGACACTAGTCTTTCATTGACTTTGGTGTTATTCGTTTAAATACAAACTGATACAGCAGATTCGATTAAAGAACACAGAAAAACAGACAAACTTTTAAGTTAAAACTTGAAGCACTTGGATGAGGAGAAGCAAAACGGCACCAATAAATAACTGAACCAGAATTAGTTGCTAACGTATCAGTATGGTAAATATGTGATTTTGTACAGTGCATTCTATAACAAAATGGATCCTACAGAATCTGTATGTTCATAAACTGTGCTACAATAGACTTTTCAGCTAGATTTTGAACCTCTATTCAGGAAAAACCTCTTTCAATGCTATCTTGTCCACGAGATGATAATATAATTCTCAGAACTTTTTCATACATAATTTGTTGTATGGGGGATTACTAAACAATGCTTTATGATACAGTTCATCCAGTCTATCAGTTCCACTATTGGAAGATAGGCTTAGATAAACCAGCACTTAACTGATTATACTATACAAGAGTTATCTGCACAAGGTTATCCTTAATTTTTGACCTCCCTGTAGGCCTATCATTGCATAATAATATTTATGATGCACTGGGTTTTCTGACTTGTAAAAATTGACTTTTATACTTCTTGCCAAAAACAAACACAAAGAAATTGGTTGAACAAGTTGTAAATCTGGGTTCTTACAAGAGTCTACCTGTTTTGCTATGTGACACACTCATTTAGTTCTGTTCTACATTGGTAACTTGCTTTGATTCTATAGACATAATATCAACACAGATCTGTAGGAATACAGTGATTTTGCAACACTTTTGATGTGGGGGAATAAAGATGTCAATATTCACATGGTAATCCAGTTGGGGGTGATGGTAATCAACTGGGTTATATCCTTAGTCAACGTGTTTGCTGCTGTAGTACAGAACAAAATTTCATAATTTAAAGAAGTATTAAGTAGATTCATCACTGTTTTAGTTTTAATTTATAAATCATGTCTTTAGAGTGTTGTGTACCAAGTTGTAATAATAAATAGATGGTAATAAGATATATCAAAGTAAGATAGTTTATTTTTTTTAATATGTAAGTAAAAATGATGTCTATTTATATTGATATTCGTTGCAATACAATAGGCAGGAGATATGGTGGCATCTTTGGTGAAAGGACCTGATGGAGATGAAAACTGGATCTTGGCTGAAGTCATTACTTACAACCACAATACCAACAAATATGAAATAGATGATATCGATGAAGAACAGAAAGAACGCCATGTGTTGAGTCGGCGAAGAGTTGTTCCGCTTCCCCTCATGCGGGCCAATCCTGAAACTAACCCTGATGCCCTTTTTCCAAAGGGAGCCTTGGTTATGGCTCTTTATCCACAGACTACTTGTTTTTATCGAGCAGTGATCCATGAAATCCCAGAAGCTGTCAAAGAAGACTACCAGGTTCTGTTTGAAGACTCCTCCTATACCGAGGGCTATTCTCCACCACTGAGTGTCGCTCAACGTTACGTCATCTCATGCAAAGAAAGCCGAAAAAAGTAGGCAACAACAACTTTACCGTAGTGATCTGCATAGGTGAATTTTTCTCACGTCAGTATAAAGTAGAATGAGAAATTAATTTATGTGTTCTCAAGTACAGTGATATTTCTCTCTCTTTTTGAATTGAGTACAAAGTGTTGTAACTATAAATTTTGTATATAAGGTGGATATGTTTCACTTTTTAAGATATTTAAAGATTTCTTTTATATGGATACCAAGTACACAGCCGTCTAAAAATTAAACTAATTTACAAATGCATCCGAGTTAGTTTTGATTTTATAAGAACCTTCAAACTCATGAATTTAGTTCACATAGACACAAATTCATTCCTTACAGACTTTCTCTCTGTTGGACCATGGAGTTTTATCACACGAATGATGTTCTAAATTTCACTTAATTGACATATTTAATAAATTGAAGCAAAGTAAATTGGCTGAAGGTTGTGAAGAATTACTTAAAACATTAAGAAGATAACTATGGAGCTATTAAAGCAGTAATTACAGCTAGTCATAATTTTTACTACTGTATAGTTTGAATTATCAAGAACAGTAATATGGAAAATTATTACCTGATTTCTTTGAGACATTAATTAATGTTCATTGTTAATCTGTATGATGACATTAAATTTTTACTTTTTTTTTAACGTTTCAAATTGTGTTGTAAAATCTTCACAATATCCAGGCCATCTTTGGAAGCATTTGAAAAAAAATACAATGAATATATTTGAAGAGCAAACAGTATTTCTCATAACTTTCAAAAATAAATCCATATCAAGACTTTTCATTTCCTGAGTTAGAAACTTGAATAAAAATTAGCTTTTAAGTTGTTTAAGATAAAAGTAAAAAAGGAGTATACTTTAAAAATATTTCCTAGGTTTGTTTTTATTATTAGTTTTAATGGTCAAGATGCGTGTTTATTAAATCTTTTAAGAATTTTCACAGTTAACTCTTTCAATACGGGGTTGGTCAATGTGACAACCTCGTAACTATTTTGTGCTTATCACCAAAAAATCATAAATTACTACATCAATACCATAGGATTGTACTATAATTTATCAAGCTTAGTATCTAAGCTGTATTTGTGTTTAAAAATACATGAAATTTTTAGCAGACTAAAGCCACAACCTACCTCGTTGAAATCTTGGTTCAAAAGAAAGGAATGGTGGAAGGAACATTAGAAAGGCTGAGAAAACCACTAGGGGGACATTCTGAGCTTCCAATTTGTTATTCATGTCATATATATAAGGGAGCATTTCCAAAAATGGAGAGTGGGCAGGGTGCCACTGTTTGATTTATTACATGAACAATATCTTAGAAAATATAAAAGATAATACATTCTTATTTTATATTATAGCTTGTCAATATTGATAATTTGAATTCTTAACTTGTACGAAACTGTAAACTTCACATCACATACATCTATTTGGAACCAGTGCTGCATTCAACATACCACGTAACACACAAAAATTGATGTTTATCTGTGTTTTTTTTAATTAAGAAATTGAGTAATGTATAGTTCTAAAATTTGATACCAAACTTATTGACATAAATTCATGAAATAGTAGTTCAATAAAATTGAATTTAAGTCAACATGGCCTTTCACCTGTGACCCATCTTGAAAGGGTTAATTTGGTAGATAGAACCATTTGTGTAAGGTTTCTTCAGTAAATAGTTTTATTATGAGTTGTGTTCTTACAAATTTGTTCCATACTAGTGTATGGAAAGACATTATGGTAATATAATTGACCAACAAGAGTTTCTTCACACCTGATGAAGACAGACCAATGTTTTGTCAAAACATGTACAGTAAAAGTTTAATTATGTGGCATCTGCTGAACAGATGAATGTCGACACCTTTTCAATAATAAGTAAACCTTAAACTATAAAAACATTTATATGTACAACTGAAGACTGCAAAATTGCAGTAGTGCCACTGGTGATGGAATGTTAAGGAAATTTGGTTCAGAAATGAGCATTTATGTTTAGAGATATTTCCAGATGTGAAGATGTCAAACAACTGTAGTAAAAATTATCCCCCAAAATAGAAAGCATTTCATTATGTTTGTAAATTGTTGTTTATCAATTTACTGTTAGAATTTGTTTCATATTTTTTATCAGCTGTTAAACGAGGAAAACAAAGATATTGGGTAAGGAAGGAGGAGAGGAATTAAGGATACATTATTTTTAATGAAATACCCTCTACCTCACATGAGATCTGTTTAAACAATTTAAAAGCCAACATACATTCTATTCTTAGAAATTATATTCATGTCAGACTAACCATTTTGCATTGCAATGTATATTTCTGATTCAAATACATATTTGAGCAAATGTCAGACATTTTATACATTATGGTTTACAAACTGTGTGAAGAGTTTCACCAAACCAAGAATAATTAAAAACATAAAAAAAAAATTGCATGTGGTAGTAGGGGTGTTGTGAAAAATTGTGATATGTAAAACCAACATCAAACTTGTTTTGGAAAGCAGTACCTGTGCATTTAAAGAACTGAATTACTTAAACCACAAAAATATTACATATTTTCATTTGATATTGTACAAAATGTAAGTTAGATAAAAGATTTATTAACTAAAAAGGGCTGTTAAAATTTTTTTGTTCTTTAAATAATTCCAGTACAAGGACATAAGTATGAGAAGTTTAGTCTTTGTTCAACTTTCCAACATTTTATTCACAAAAAAGTACAAAAGAATTTAAGTCTGTATTTATACATAAACTTTTACTGCTAATGATGTAGTACAGGGGTAACATTCTTTTAACCAATCACCTCCAATATATATATTTTTGAAACTTTTAGCTAGCAAATTAACAAGAAATAACTTAAACTTAGAATGTACTTTACTTTATATGTGACAACAACAAAACGGAAAATTTTTTACATAATAAATTTTCTTATTCTACTGTGGTGAAACTATGATTCAATGTACAATTCATTGAATATATTGAAAAAAGCCACAGTTATTTTCATTACCTTGACACAGTTCCTAGGTGTCATTTCAGAAATTATCACCTACCCCCTTCTTTAAAAGAATTTGCCACAATTTACTGATTGGAAACATTAAATTTTATTGTAAGTATGCTACTGCTTATAAACCCAAAGTTTTTAACTTACTATAGGAATGTATTTCATTTCTGTTTAAAAATCTTACAGCTAACACTTTCAGTTTCTATTGAATTTAAAACCAATGCATGTTCAGAAAATAAAGACTACTTAAGGAGCACACCCTTACAAAAATAATCTTAATTTCTCATATACAGTAAAATACACTATTGTGTATTATTAGTCATGGAAAATAAATGTATACATATAACTATGACATTTAAGAGGAGGAGTACATTACCAGCTGTTTGTTCCTTTCTTTGCTTAATGGATATAAAAAAACTGTGTACTTGTCAATCTTTACAATTTATTGGGTACAAGGTTTCTGGCGCATCCAAATAAGATTGAACAGAATTACTTACGATTATATTAATTTTATACGTTAGAAATTACCAAATACCATACTAAGTGTTATCCTATGTCTAAAAAAAAAACAGAAAACACAAACTATCAAAATGTTATCAATGATTAATAAATTCACCTGTATTAATACATCTTATGGTTAACTTCATAACAAAATGTTACCCTAAGAAGAAAAAAAAACTAACATAAATATACATCATGATCTACATTTTTTAAACCCCCTCATCTTAAGGTTATTGTCCAGTTTCTCGCAAAAACTCTTCGAAAGCTGCTTGCATTTCTTCGTCCATGACTTCCCCATCAGGATCTTCTGTCCTGGTGAACATAATCAAGGGACCGTTACCAATGTGAGTAATTCAGCCTGGGCCAATCTTTTATATCACGACAATAATGAAAACAGTGGCTTGGTATATTACATGATGTTTATTTTTGTTTTTATATATACATACATTAATTTAAAAGAAGCTATAATTGGTATGGGAGTGAAGCCAGTTTGGTTGGTATACAGTGTCTAAGAAAAGAATAGCCTTGATAGGGAAGAAGTGAAACAATGCATGTATTTCCTTTATATGCACAATATTAAGAGCCTGGATGTTCTGTGGCTGCTAGAACTCCTTAACATGCTGGACTAGTGATGTCATTGGTGGCCAAGCATTTTCCTTCTCACAACCTTCATATTTCTATCAGTTTTTAGTTGTGAGAACATTTTCATGAACAAGTTACTTTTATGTACAAGTCCAATATTCTTGGTCAAGATCAACTTGTATGTAATAGTTTCTTTTCAATATGATATCTCATTTGGATGTGTTAATATGATAATCTTAATCTTTAGTTTGTTATTACATAAGCTTACCTGATAACTTGTCGTACAAGGGTTTCTTTAGCTTTCAAAGATATAATACAAATATTTCAAGAACATCAAGAGAAACTACAGAAAATTTCCAGATCTATGGTTTGTTAACCCTACAGGAGCTGGCTTGCCAATGCATTTACAAACCACAAATTACTGCTAACATCGCTTTATTGCTCTTTGACTGACATAAACAGTGTTAGAATTTCTTCCATTTTTAGCCCTTGGTTCTAGCTAATTTTATACCCGAGTTTCATTAGTAATTGTTCAGAATACACGCTGTAACATCATAAGAAGATTTATAGTAATAAAACCTCAAACTCACCCATATAATTCACCATTGGTTACATTTGAAGAACTGAGATTGCTACAGGATTTCTGTAAGAAAGTGACTTCTTCTGAAGAAATTGGTCGTCCATCTGGTCCATAGAATACCGTGCCATACTAGAAGAAAGTCATTCGTTCAACATCATGCCATAAGAGTGGATCATGACAAGGAAACATAACTCTTCACTGTTATTGTTTACAAAAGAAACAAAACAGTCATCCAGTAACAATGAATTCCAAAAACTAAACACAATTAAATTGTTTTGGACAACAAAAAGTAGTATTTATACAATACATATATGTGCGTAATCCTAAAGATAACTTAGTTCCTTGATTTGACTAAGTTCAAACACACACAAAATCAGCTCCAACAGCATCATTCCAGACATACTAGAAAACTCCAGCAAAAAGTTTAATTCATCAAATATTTTAAGATAGGCTAAGATTGACAAAATACAAACCAGAAAAGGTTTTCCTTAGAAAGTTACTGGGTTTATTTCAAAGCAGGTTAATTTAAATTAAATTCCTAAGTAACTTTAAAACTAAGAGGTTTTTGATAAAACTGGAATGTAAGTCTCTTCAAAACATTTGTGGCATTCAGTTCTCAAAGTGCTCTTACATATCTAAAAAAATATCATGAAGATATTGTAGCCTTTTATAATTGACAGTAAAAGGCATTTTCCAACATTACATGAATAAGTTTAAACGCCTACCACTGTTGAATTATCTAACATCCAGCCTTTAAAATAAAGGCTCACACTGACTGAAATACAGGTTACATCAACAAGTTTTCTCTTGTTTATTATATCCTATAGAACCAAATATGGGTACTTATTTCAAACATAGCTTGTAACTCAAATATTCATATATTACTGGACCGAATGAGTATCTGCTTCAACTACATATATTTTTTTTTTACATTAAAAAAAGACTATTACAGGTTCTTTGAACAATTATACAGGTTTGCTAATAATTCAGAACATCTTAAAACAAGAAATGGAAATCACCCAAAATATCATTACCTACTGCATCTCTTATTCTTCAGAAATATTATTAGTTATTTCCAAAACTACAGTTACTGTAGCAATATACAACATTACAAATATCAGTCATGACACCATTTTTAGCATACAGTCTCTGCCTGTTTAAAGTATAAAAAGTCTATTTTGATAAGACTCTAGGACTGTTTAGATATTAATAATCTGTAAAAGTTCCTTTAACCCTAAGGAAATGATGCTGGTGTTTTCCACCAATGCTTTCTGGGAAGCTATATATAGCAATGTTAAATATAATTAAAAAATTTACTAAGTGTATCTTCACAAAATTTGACAAGGTTGTTACTTTCAGTAAGTAATACAAGTCTGTTGTATCCAAAAAACAATTTTTTATATATATATATATATATAAATTATGAAGTCAGTTAGATCCTAAGTGATTAAAAATACTTCTTTTAATCTTACTGTTTACCTTTTAATTTATTTTTATTGCATGGCAAACAGTTCATTCCTGTGTGAAACAAACACATCACAAGGAAATATATTACCATATTCCCATAAGCTCGTCACCTAGTGAGCTAAGCCTTGTTAACATTTTCTGTAACTTCTTATCAGAAAATAAAATATTTCACATTTTAAAATATAAGAATGTCCAAAACCAATTATAAGTTAACCGTTATGGTGTGAACACTTTTCAGAACTGGCAATTTAACTTTCCTTCTAACTAGGTTATAAAAATTGTTAAATTCTGTGTGTGCCAAATTTTGTTTATAGACAAGCTACAAAATAAAGGCATCCTGTTATTGTATAATGCTGCCAGTTTCAACAGAACCATTACAAGCTTGAAACTACACTTTATTAGTTATAAACAAGTAGGTCAAATAAAAAAAGATGACTGATGTGGTTTTCAAAACTGAAAGTTAAGAACAAATGAGCAAGGCATCTGTTGTGGGCTAAGAAAACTGATAACTTACTGAAGGAAGAAGTTAAGACATGACAACATATACAGTGAGCCTTGTAATTGTTTACAGGTAGTGTATGTGTTCAGCTTTTGGAGTTGTACTTGAGAGTACTTACACATCATGTGATAACAAAAGTGAAAATTTGGGACTTTTAAATATTCTCTTTTGAAATTAAAACTTAAATAATACAAAATTATAAATTATAAAATTTGAATTGTAAATTAATATCTGATACAAATTTTATTAACATACATTAATAATAATAATAATACTTTTATTAAATTTTGAAAGTAACTATAAAAGGTCATCAAATGCACAAAAGAGTTTACACCATCTCACTAAAGTAAAAGGAGGGTGTTATTATTGAAAAAATTATACTCACCATTGATGAGCAAAGTTCCTAAAACGTTCTTGATCTTCTACTACTGGTGAGGAAGTTAACTTTTTGACTTTAGATTAACATGATTCAGTACACAGAAATACAACACTGCCCCATTAACTCTTTTTTTTCTGCATGTGCTTGGTCCCAGGGATCGAGCTCATAACCATTTTGTGCTTGTTATAGTTTTCATGCTATAACTTTTAAATTAGTAAGCATATCTTCACCAAATTCTGCATATTATCAGTAATTGTTACAAGGCTTTCGTATGCAAACTATCAGATTTATTAAGTAATGTTTTTCTCATGCCTTTTTTATTTTTGACTGTTGACTATCCAACATGCAAAGTAATTTTGATTTTAAGATTAAAAATACTTTTATACTTCAGAACATTTTCAAATTTCACATGCAAAATCTTTATAACCTCCAGATAATTATCAAATTTTAAAAAAAAAAAAACTTTATATTTTATCTGTTATTTCTACTATCGAATCTCTGTACAGTTTCGGTCG